AAGTCCCAGATCACAGCAGGTACACTGGGTTGCGGGCACTTGGCTTTCATCTTACTGGTGCAAAAGCCCAGGCTCCCCCTGCACTGGCAAGTAGAAAGAGTGCAACTGGGGTCTGATGCATGTGTGGCATGGTAGGAGGCATGGTTGTTGGAATCAGGGCTCAGATCCCATGGTGTCTAAATGAATGTGAGCCTTAGTGTGACCTCCTCAGTTCACCAGTCAGTCAGCTGAGCTGTTAAGAACAAGAAAGTAATCAGCTAAAATACAGTTCTATAAGAGCAGGTCATTTTTTGGCTGGAGAAAGCAGGAAGCTAGACTGGACACCAGGTCTGTTTCTGGGACACCACAGCTATGAGCCACCTTAGACTCAGGACAATCTAGTTATAAACATGTGGAACAAATAGACTACTTTGGCTACCATCAAGTAAGAGTACTCTGCAAGTTTTACTGAGATTATTCTGAGGGACATTTTTATTCAGTTTCTGAAGTATCATCAGAGAAGAGAGGGCAATATGTGTGCATGCCCCTTAAAGCATTAGAAAAATAGGATTGGTGATTCATTCTACCTCCTGAGAAGAGAACGGCTGTATTTGCAAGTTATAAATGTCATAGAGGAAATGGCAGCCCAGATTAATTGGCGCATGAGACATATGGTTCACTTTTGAATAATGAATGGGAAATGGAATTGATTACTTTCTCATCAGCTTTTTTTAATAATCAAAATTGGCCACAATTTAAATTAAATGTATCAACTAAGGATTTAACTTACCCAGACTTGCTAAGGTACATACTGTATTAAGCATTAATTTATTAGTAAAAACAGGTGGAAGTTATCAGCTATTCAGCAGACAGACATTATCACTCATTAAGCCCTAATAGATTTGTTTTTTCCCAAAATAATACAAAAACATTAGTGTCACACATATAGGCAGTAAATAATGGGTATATAAATACACAGACTCTGTACTGAATAATATAGAGCATAAATGCCTTGAGATAAATCAATTCCTCAGGGATAATGCCATCTGAAAGATGAATGGAAAAGAAGGAATCATATAAACCTTAACCTGAAAATGCTGTGTTACTTGCTTTCAGTGACACTGGTAACATGTGGATAGACCATGTGAGAAGAGCAGAATGGTCTTAAGCGCATCTACATCAAATACGCAGAATGGTCAGATTCTGTTCTTAGTTATATCAGTGCATAATCACTGTCCTTAATGAACACAATAGTAATGTTCTAGGTGATCATTAAATATGTTATGCCTGATTCATCTTCCATATAAGTCAATAATTGCAATTGTCAGCTGTGCTGGGCTTTTGTTCAGAATTTGTAACACGCTCTACAGCTTAAAATTGGAAACCGAGGCAGTGAGGGGTGAGGTGGCTTGCCTCAAGTCAGGCAGGAAATCAGCTGCAGATCCAAAAGAGGTAGGATCCAGCAGATAGGGCACTGACCTGGGCCTTGGGAGATCTGGGCTCAGTTCCCAGCTCTGTCAGAGACCTGCCACAAGTCACAACCTCTTTGTTCCTCAATTCCCATTTGTGGATATGAGCACCCAGAAGGATGTTGTGAGGGTGAGTTCATTAGAGGTTGTAAGGTGCTGAGTTATTAGGGTCTGCTGCCAAGCTAAGGCTGATGGAAGCAAGCGAAGGCTGTCAGCACCAGCGCCTGAGTGCCTTTACCATAAGGCTATCCTTGCTCCCCACCCCCACCTTATTCTCTGCTCTGGTTGTAGTCCTTTACTGAAGTACCATTCATCAGAATTTATGATGTTCTTCTGCCCCTTTGGTACTGAAATAATAACTTCTTAGGAAATCACATCCCATTTAACAATGAAAAGAGTTCTGGAGAGAAAGGGGTGGAGTTCAGCATAAAAACAAAACAAAACAACCAATGGGTTTGTAGCAGGCACATATGTTGATGACTTCTGTTTGTTTGCTAAGTTACCCATTTCAGTGCAAACAGGTTGTCATAAAAGGTGTGGGTCTCCCAGGTACTTCAATAGGAGCTGCACATATACATGCAAGAACTTAGTTTGGTTGGGCATATCAGGGATGGAAGAATGCTGACAGTCCTTGCTAGGGCTGTGCAAGCTTCAGTCCTTGATTCAATTTGGCGGAGATTCAGCCCGAATCTGAATGGAATCAGAGGACCCTTTAATCTCTCCAAATTGAATCAGAACACTCCAAATCAATTCGGAGAGATTCGGAAAGATTCGGAAATTCGGCCATAGGCACAGCTTCTAATGTTTTTTCTACATACCTCTAAGTAGCAGGTGGCTTGTGAATGCTGGGATGCTGGGGTGCATGGAGCATCCCACAGAAGCGCAGGGGGCTCCCCAGCATATTTGGCAGCAGACCCGAAAGTGGACCAGAAGCACTTCCGGTCCACTTCTACATTCACTGGGGAGCACGCAGGGTCTCCATCCCCCTGGCTCGACGACTGGTGCCTCCTGGGTCTGGGGCGGGGTCCCCCTGTGGTTGTACTTCTGGTCCACTTCTGGGTTCACCACTGAGCATGTGGACAGCCCCCCACACTCCTGTGGGACACTTCATGTGCCCTAGCATTGCAGTGTTCACGAGTCGCACTGGTACCTCGAGGTATGTAGAAAAAACGTTTAAGCTGTGTCTATGTCCAAATTGCTGATTCTCAGAATCAGCAGCGAATCTTCAGATTCGAATTTGGCTGAATCGAATCAAAGACAGTGATCCGAATCAATGAACTGAATCACTGTCCCCAATTTGGGCCGAATCCAAATCGAATAGGGCCCGCTTCGCACGCTCCTAGTCCTTGCCCTTTGCCTAAGGGAGCTGTGACCTTATTGGCATGTTGCTTAAGCTTAATTTATCCCAGGACTCCACTAACCAAAGCCTCCCTCCGGGCCCAAGCCTGTTCTCACTGACACAAGTAATGCAGCACTGCTCCAGATTTACACTGGTTTGAGAGAAGAATCTGGTGCATGGCATGAGCTATCACTGCTTGCTAAGCTACACTGTAGCAGCTTCTGGGTAGTGCAAGGTCCCACCTGAACACAAATCCCACAAAGAACATTATGTGAATGAGAGTAATGAAACTGCTGCTTCAACTTGCCTTGCAGCAAAGCATACTAATTAGGGGCCATAGCAGTTCTGCTTTGCCATAGATCTGAACAGAAAAACTTGTCTGGTGTCAGCACTGAAGACTCCTCTAGCCTAGCAGCAGAAGACAAGGGGAAGGGCCAGATGGCTTTCTGAGGCACTGAGCACAGGAAACAAGCAGAAAGTGTTACACACCGGAGATAGGGAGAGAAGATAAAGTAAGACCTCACTGCATATCAGCTGTGAGGCCTAATTCTGCAGATGGTAATATCAGTAACACAAAGGAATAAACAGAAAACCTCCTTGTGGAGTGGTTTGGGGCAACACTGAAGGAAAGCACTGAAGTCAGGAGCTGGGGCTCAGAATGGGAAATGATTCACAGCCTGTATCATGCAAGGTGCTGTGGCGCAGTCACCCGTTGCCTGCATATGCATGTATGTGCTTTTTTCTTCTTCAGTATTTGTACAAGAACAACAACAGTAATATAATAGCAGGACAGATAAGAGCCTGGGGTAGAAGGAAGTGAATATAAACTGAGTTCAGCTTGAATCCAGCTGGAAAGGAAGAAAAGGATCAAACAGAAAGAAAGGAAGGCTCGGAATGAGATACAAAAATGATGTGAATAAACAGGAGCTGCTTGTTGATTTGAAGCGTGCTCCATAATAAACCACAAACATTAAACCAAAGATCTCCTATCTTAAAACACAGGGCCCTGACCCTGTGGAAAAGGTAGGAAAACTGACTGAGAGCAGGGAGGATGGGGAATACAGCCTGACTATTGCCCATCTCCTTCCACAGCTCCTATGCTCATTTTTGCTTTCCTGTATTTTGGTAGGATGAGGAAAGCATCTGGCCATTTTAGGGTTACTAGTTTCCCCTTTATCCCTCGCACCCACTTTGGCACGGAACAACTCAGGGCATATTCAGACATGAAGAGGAAAGAACAGTATAAAGCATTGTAATATTTTTATCTCTTCAAATTTAATAGCTGTTTTCCATTCAAGGTTAGGGGGTGATTAATGGCACCTTCAAGCTACTGAATAGTAATTAACAATGACTGATATTAAAGGAAGCGTGCTCAGGAAACACAGTAAGCAACAATGACCCATTACCATGCATTGCAGTTATTGCCTGGGGAGCTGGCTCTAATAGAAAAAAAATTGTGGGGGGCTTAAGAGGGAGGAATTCAGGTGCAACCAGAGCTGATCGGGGGAGGACTGCATGGACAATCCATGGAAAGTAGTGGCAGAGGGGAGGAGAAAACCCAGTTGGCAATACTGACCTGCTTCAAGGTTTCCAGAGCTTGACAAAACATGTCTTGACTACACTGCAATTTGGCCACTCTCATCATCTGGACAGCCCTCAAAGGATGAAAGCCAGGATAATAGAATCTGTGGAGAAAAGGGAAAAAACAGAGTCACTATCACTTTTCACCTTCACAGTCACTGCCTCAGTGGAGAGCTATTAGGGTGGGGCTGCAAAGTCATTATGAATTTTAATAAGGTACTCAGAGAAAATTAGCTGCACTATTGAGAAGCATGAAATGCTTAGGGGAGTTAACAAATTATTACTCTCTGTCTCCACGGAATGCCTTTTACATTAGCCTGTTAGAAAATGACAAGAATGGGATTATTTTATACACTGCTGTTGGATGACACAATAGCATTTGCCATACATGATGTTTAAAATAAAAAGTCTCTCAGGCAGTCTCAATACTACTGAAGTAATATTATTATTTTGAAAGAAAAGTTGAAATATGGAGCCCAGTTCTGGCTGTGATGCTGTGATCTTATGGCACACAAAGCATAGGTGGCTGGCAGGGCCACACACATAACAGCATGGAAATTATTTGTCAACATACACTTGGAGTCTGGCGAACCTGAGAACTGGCCATGAAACTCCTTGTGCGTGAAATAATTGAAAGATAATGTGTTCAGGGAAGTGTCTCTTTACGGACTTGCATAACAAGGCATCAATAGCAGGCAGAATGCATTTGCATGGACAAAGTTTCTGTTGCTCCTCACACGTGCCCAATGCCTGCTCTGGTGTGTGCTCATGAGCATGTGTTGGAGCAGACTTGATTATCGATCAAGTTAAAGCACCCCCACCACCATTTTGAAGCGTGTGACACTGAATACATGACATGCTGTGGGCACTTTAATTAGAGTGGCTCTTGAGAGCCACTCTAATTAAGGCACCCCTCCACCATTGACTCCAGAGCACGTATAAAGATGCCACAGGTTTTACACAAGGAAAATTCTCCATTAACTTACCTGGAGTTGCTTCTGATTTATATTCACATATATGATAAAACAATCATGCCGCTTTGGATTTGTGATGTAAAAGTGGACATAAAAGCAATCACCCCCCTACTTAATTATAATATATTGTGAATAAGTTCCTATTTTAATGGCAGCCACTTTGCAGTTCTAACATTGTAAAGTATAACTTTACTGGAAAGTTGGCAAGGGTGGAGCACATGACTTGGTAAGGATAAGTATCATACTGGATCAAATATAAATTGACTTTCTCCATTCCACCAATAATGAACACTTAAGAATACTTCAGAAAATTTCAAAACCATAACAACTGTTGGAAACAGAGACAACACAATGGCATCATTTTTAAAACAATGGGCCAGTGTCTCGTACCACTTGTACCAGGTTTCAAAGTGATGGGTACTTCAGTGGAATTATTTCTGCTTTATATCTGTGTAGATGAAAGGAGAAGGATGTCCAGTGTCTGGAGAGAGACTGGTTGAACACCTGATAGATAGCCTGTTCTATAAACACATTGGATGACTTGAGCATGCAAGGATGGAGAGGAAATGGATTGGAAACTCATACAGAAGGGATAAATCTGAAAAGGCAACACACAGTAAATACAGTCAATCTTTTGAATGGAAGGTGCTCTTATTATAAATCCCAAATAAAGTACAGAAATATGAAAGGTTTTCACACAGAAAAAGCTTCTGATGCCAGAAAGCTGCAGTGAAGATATACAAAGCTACATAGGAAGCTTATTTCTATGCACATTTGGATGAGACTTGGCCACATCCAACAAAGCCTCCACCTGATCCAAGTTATCTATAAAAACCTATCTTGATTCTGCAAAAGCTCCATCTTTAGGGACCACAAAGGAATGTGGGATACATAGGATTGCAAGATAATCTTCGGGCCATGTTGTGGCTTGCAGACCAAAAGAGGTTAAGAACCACTTAATTAAAGCACAGTATTAGCAGTATTTGTGTCTGACACCAGTGAATGTGTCAGTCAAAGACTTCAGGAAACAAAAAATACTGTCTGAACACATGCATGACTAGAGGGTTTTCTTTTAGTTTTCAACAAGAGTGTAACTGGGGAGGGTGGGGGGCTGAGCAGGACACCAGGCTTGGACACCAGCCTACTGAGGGCACTGAAATGGAGGCCTCTTCCAGGGAGTCTGCACCATGGCAGCTATCTTGCACTGCTCCTGTTGCAACAGAAGCCAGGTACAGAGATACTGTGATGCCGCTGTAGCAGCAACAACTAAGGTACGTAGGCCATGTGAGAGCAGCTACAGGAGCCCGGACATTTTTTGAATCCCCAAAGCAGGTAAGGTGCCTGCCGTCCCCCAAATCCCCTGTTCTTGGCTCCCACTCCTTTCCAGAGCTCTGCAGTACCTCGTCCCCCTTCCTACTCCCCAATCTATGTTCTCCAACGGAGAGTTACACTTCTGTTTTTCAGTTATGATCATTATATCCGTTGACATGGGTACAGCCATCTCCTGTTAAAAGGGAACAAAATGCAACTGAAGCTGAGTGGGCTAGAGATTTGGAGTTGAGTTACTGATAAGTAATAGTAACTTTGATAATGATGATTAAAGGAATAGATGGGATTAGGTGGCACTTACAATGGCTTTGCAAAAACTGTCAATATTGGTATATAAATTGTACATATCTTCTTATCTCTCTCTCAGCCTTTCTATATCAGTATGATTGCTGCACTGATGAAAAAGAGTTGGGGGCAAAATGGGACCCAATCAAGTCAACACCTTCTCCCAGCATCCCTCAGCCCAAAACTGTTCAGGAGATTCTGGTCCTATTCTAGGTCATTAAAATCGTAGAGATACCTCCTGCCTAAGATGTGGCCTTAGGATAAAACTGCATGTGGTAAAACTTTGGATACAACAGCCAGAGACTGCAGCCAGTAGTAGCAGTGGCAGCAGCCACTAAAGCAGGGCCCTTCAGAAGTTTGGAGGACTTCTTTCAGTTTCGACTGACCCTGAACATATTGGACACTCTCTCATTTTCCCTGTGTCACATCAGCACCTAACTCTTCTATCCCCTTCTCTTCTGCTTTGACTTCTTCACACTTTCCCCTCTGATGTCCTTTCTCCCATCTTCTCTCCCATATTTCTATTCAGCCAATCTCCTCCTACTGAAACCAACTCCAACATCTATAAAATTGTGGATCTAAGGGTATCTCTGTGTTATAGTCATGCCTGGGATTGTGGCCCATATTGATGCAACTCAAGCAACCTCAGAACTAGCTATCTCAGAAACTGCCACTAGATTTACACAGATTTATCTCAGGTTAGAATATGCCCCCTGCATTCAAATGGATATGATGTGTCCAGCTCTTTAACTAGAGTCCATGAAGATTTAAGATTATGGCATGTGTGATACCAGAGGAAGCACAAGGCCATTTTACGATGTCAGGCACATAGAAAACTTCCAGCCATAAACTAAAGCGAGTGGAATTTTAAGAGGAGATGACAGAGGAAGCAAGTGTGGATATGTGAACCCTAAGTGCATAAATATTTACAAAGCTGTTGTGCTGTGCTGATTTATGTGCTGATCTTATGCGTATGTTTAGCTGCATTTTGCAAACCTTAATAATGACACTTTGAATCTCTCTTTATTGTCATTTTCTGAGATAAATCTGTTAGAATACTAGAACATCTTTTGTGTGGGCACATCTACTGAGCAAGCTTATTACAGGAGTCAGTGCAACTTGCAGCTTTTTGGGGAGAAATAAAAGGAAGATAATGTTTCTGCCTTCTTCCAGGATTCTCCATGCTTCAGTACAGTCAAAAACTGGTATGGGGAAAAGACTAAGAAATTGTATCAGGCACTTGGGAAGCAACATGTTATCTCTACTAGTAAGTCTGATCTAAATAAGATGATAAAATTAAGACCTGAGGGTTAAGGGAAAATCCTCTTAACCTTGGTGTTCACTGACCTGTGGGGATGCACCTTCAGCTGGTGTGGTTAGCACAGCTACACCGAAGCCCACAACCCACAGAATCATACAGTTGCAGAGATGGATGGGACAGAAGGGGATCATCTAGTCCTAGCGATTCTCAAACAGAGTGCCAGGGGATACTTTGAGATCCTTTCAAGGGTGCCACAGGGTGCCACAAAATGTTAGCACTGTTAGGTGTGCAAATATGATTCACAAGATAAACTCTGATGTTTTGAATAGGAATCCAGAGGGTTTTAACCTTTGTGATCTGTTATGGTCTTCCTGAGTTCTTTGCAACGACAGACAAATTGCTCTATTATTTTTCTGTAGTCAAAGAATAAGTGAAAACGAAGAGCTGGCATTTTCCTAGGGATGCCTCAAGTCCAATGAGAGGTGTTTCGAGTCTAAAAAGGTTGAGGATCATTAATTTAGTTCAACTTCTATCCCAAGGCAAGTTAAGTATAGTTGCTGGTTTAAGCTCTTCTCAGGAAGCCTCCAGTGCAAGTCATTCCACAATATCCTGAAGTAGCCTTTTCCAATATTTCATCACCGTAACAGTCAGAATGATTTCCCCAATATACAACCTACATCTTTACAAAATAGATCTATGCCCATTCATAACAGGTAAATATTCTGAAAAATGATACTTAATTTATCTAATCTTTCATGGTTTGAGATTTTGGAATTACCGGCTCCTTTTTCAGTTTAGTCATGATTTCAGCCTTGATAGTCCCCTGCTTCAGTAGCAGACTACATGCTTTGTGAAGAAATAGGTCCTTTGCCTTGTTCTATGTATATTCATTCTTAATTTTTTAAAGTGGCCCACTGTGTTTTCATATTGTAGTATGGCACAAAAATACAAGCCATGACCCATATTAGCTACATGTTTCCTTGTTTTTAATACTGAACTACAATCAAAGCCACTCAAATGCTTTCTTTTTTCCAGGCTAAATAATCATTACTTTTGCATTTCCTTGTGATGTTAGCTACTGCCTGACATTAAAAAGAATGGCCCAAGGTATACCGCTATACTACTAAAACCAGTATAATTTCTGATGCTTCACAGTTTAAACCAGGCTAATAGAACTGCAGTATTTCCTGTAAGTCAATTTGTAGGGCTAACATTTGCACCTTTGTCTTCAGCCTGATGTAATTTAAAACACACA